CTTCTGAGCCAAGCGAAAAGAATAAACGAGATTTAATTCGTTGCTCAACTTCATAGTAGAACACACCTGGTGCTACTCTGGGATCTTTTGCCCGGCGTTCTTCATTCATTTCCGTCACTATTCGTACGGCTGCATCGTTTCGTGCAATACGATTCGCAATTGCTGCCGCATCCTCATCCACCCCCACAGCTTCTGGTTTTGGAACAGGATCATCATGTACCCCACCCGGTGGTTTCAATAACTCACGTGGGTCACAACTTTTCTCTCAGGGTGATTGCTAAGTTGAATTGGCCTATCCAAGAATCCCGGCTGCTGGGTGGATCCGCTGTTGGTTTATGCCAGAATACGGGAACACCTAACAGGTCAGTCCGATCCTCCGAAATCGAAACTGCTGGCTGCGCCATTTGGTTTACTGAGGAATACCAGTTTAAACAAGACTCAATTCACCTTGTTTAGAATAGATAGATTGTAAATAATGTAAATGATATAAATAATGTCATGACCAAATTCTAGAGTTCAACTTGCATCTTTCATACATTGAGACAGAGTGAGTGAGCGCACTTAATGATGAATGGAGTATAGATTGACAGGTCGGTAGCGACCTTGATAGCCAATAGGCAAGATTAGCACGATTAATAACTAGCATTGAAAGTAATACTATGATGACGTCATAACGATACCGTTAGACACACCACACCACAGTGGTTAAGTATGCAATAAGTTTTTTTTCATCGTAAATAGTTTTCCAGAGTTTACCAACATAACGTTTCGTTTCCACACAGCTTCAAATAAAAAAACCCTTTTCCTAGATAACTTCATTTTAAGCAATCAAGATCTAGTGAACATGATATGATATACATCCAGTTAAAACAATATATTACCATGTTTGTTTTGATGGTTTACTTAACAATCCCCCCCCCCCCTTCAAGAAAAGGGGGATTGTCAAGAAGATTACTTGCAGTGAATTTTCGACCACTCAGAATGCAACAAAACTTGAATTTACATACATCGCTCTAGTGCAAATTTACTGTTTTTATTTACACGAGTGGAGTTTCTTTAGTAGATACAATAGGGTGGGAGATTGTTAAGTAGATCCGTTTTGATTTTTTAATTTTCAGGAAAACTCGCAGTGTTTTTGGCAATGTCTCAATGGCGAAGATCTCACAGTTTATAAAATAGGAACATAAATTCATTTGGTGCTGGGGGATTTCTTCAATCAGACCTATGAGTCTATTTTTTTAAAGTTGTAAATGCGGTTATAATAATCATTAAAAGGACGTTTAGGGGTGAAGATGTTAACTTGGTTATGAGTTCGATTTTTCAGCCAATCAGAATAGAGCATTTTACACGCTGCGCTTCACAAATTTAATTTAAAGTGAACGCTGGGATGGAGGATCCTAACTTGGTTTCTTTGGGGGGAGGGGGGGTTGTGGGTCTTAACTTGATCCGATTCATCTCAACAATTGATTTTAACTAACAAATATCAAAGCAAAGCTTTGATTGTTCTGACTTTTTGTTATTTTTATGTTTAACATGTGAACGACAAGCAGACTCGTTTGATCTAAACAGTGACCTTAATTGTCCTTAAGTGAGAAATTAAACAAACAAATAACGAGTGAAAAAAGCATGAAGCAGCTTGGCGAGTATTTGAGGCAATGAATGCAATGTTGAGGAAAATTAGATGATGAAGTAAAAATTAATTAATTAAGCATCTATAACCGGGTTGAAAAAAATGCTTGTCATACTATTTCATAGACCGAAAAACACACTATGAAAAAAAGCATGATAAACATTTTTTCCACACCATGAAATATTATGATAGGCATTTTTTCCATACTATGAAATTGTATGATAAGCATTTTTATCATTTATATTTGAGCACAAAAGCAAATTTTTAACCAAAAAAGGGATTAAAAAGTTTTTACCTCAAATTTGTGTTTTTGCTTATGAAAAAATGCATATCATACAATTTTCATATATTTTTTTGACCAAAATTAAAATCATGTTTTTGAGAGTCAAAATGCATTCTTTAATAAATCTTTTTTAAAACTCATGTAAATTTATCAAGAAACATCGTTAAATTAATTTTGAAGATTTTATTTTTTCTATAGCAAAATGCTTATCATACAATTTTCATATATGAAAATATTATGATAAACATTTTTGACCAAAATTAAAAACATCTTTTTATTGAGCAGAAAGATTCAAAAGATGGAAATAGAACAGAAGTATTTCTCTAAAAACGTTTAATACAGTTTTTAAAATTTGTATCAAATTGTATGATAAGCATTTTTTCCAGAATCGCCATATGTGAAATTGTATGACAAGCATTTTCTTTTATGGACGTCAACCCGGGCAGGTTTGAACTTAATTTGTACTATTTTTGCTCCGACTTTCAAACAAAGTTAAAAATATATATGCATGGGTTGGTTTTCCTTTAATTGGAGCAATTCTGGTTCATTTTGGGGGGGCTAGGTTTTTTAGCAGACCGGTTTTTCAGCAGACTCGAAACAAAACAACAGTAAAAACGCTAATTTCAAACACGCCATTGGCAACTAGATTACGCTTGCTCCGTTTCGTTCAGCTGCGCTTACATCCGGCACGAGAAGAAAACTGCGTGTGAATAAGAGTTTGCCGTTAAACTACTTATTTAGCTTAGAACTTTGTTGACAAACCGTGAGATAATTGTCTTAATTAGGGGAGCTCAACCCCAGATTGCGCGCCATTTTACTTCACTCAATCTTTTATGCCTCAATTTGTGCTGCCTCCAAAAAGCTGTTATTCAAAGCCTACTAAAAGAACTAAATTCACTTTTTTTGCTACAAAACTGTTCTGCTAAAAAATCGGTCCTCCATTTGTGGCCCGATCTCTCGAACTACGTGGGTCCTGCCGTGCAAAAACACCAGTATATTAGCACGTCTATAGGTTGTTTCTAAAACGAGTCTATCTAAACTGATCGTTTCGCAATTTGATGCTGGAATGTGCATAAATTCAAAACATTTTACAACAGAAAGTCTAGAAAAATCACCAGTACAAGTTATCAAGATATTTTTGTTCCGACCATCGGGAAGAAATTTTTACTTGGGTGGGTTTAAAGTTTTTTTTTCAACGCAAAATCAGGTACTACAAATAATCATCGAGCTGGATTGAGGTATATATCATTTTAAAGCCCTTTCAGTCGCTATTCGAACCACTTTATAAAAGAAAACCAAAAACTTTTCCCAGTGTCAAGAAAAATAGATTTGAAATTTTTATTTTTTTGACATCATTAGAGCAAATAACGCAAGCTAGCAGACTTAAAAGCTGAGTTATGCCTAATTTAGGACCTTAAAACTTAGTTTTAAATAAGTAACACTAGTTTTTGGAGTTTTTTTGCTTCTTTTTGGGAACCAAAAATTTCATAAAACTCAAAAATTTTCCACAAAAGTGTTTGTCCAATTTTTCTATATTTTTATTACTAATATGGCTAAACTATATCTTTACTTCAGATCTTTTTATAACTCTAAGCAGAAAAAAGTACACTAATTTGAAAAAAAACTCTCTGAACCGTAGTTTTCTAAAGACTATGGTCGGACCTTTCTGCGCAACTCGAACAGTAACCCACTCTCCTTGTTTTTCTTTTTCTTGTTTGACAAATCTGTAATGTCTATGACCAAACTTACTCGATCCTGAGCTCCGTAGAATTGTTTAATTTGGACACTTTTTCTTTACATCGGCATTGTTCACACGTAATAGTTTTTTGTCAATGGAATGTTCCAATCCCATTTTATCCCGACTTTCGGTGTTGTTTTTTATTCAGACCAATTTTCTCTTTGCGGTTCGATCCAAGGATCTTCGCGTTGTTCACAGAAGAGTCGCGCTTACCATTACTATCCTGAGTTAACTTCGCTGAGCAACGAGTCTTACTAAACCGTTCGTTTTATACTTTTTCGCCTAAAACTTAACGCGAACTACTTGTGCGTGGCAAATCATCCCGCTCTATTCTTTGCCCCGCTCTACAAATTGACCGACGCAAGCTAGTTGGTCTTATTATTTCATACACGACTCAATTTTTTAAAATTCAAATTTGGTATTTTTAGCCTAAAACCAGTTAAAGTGCAAACGAGCCCTGAAACGAGCTGTCTTGTCTCACTTAATTGACAACAAAGTTGTCTGTCTAGATCAGATTCATCTCCTTAATTGTCATTCACTCACACTTTTCATTTTTTTATCAAATAGGTTTTACGTGTTTTCATACTATTTTTTTTGCCGCCTAGTAGGTTCAAAACAAAGCGCCTATCAGTTTTTCCGAGTGAGCCAAATTTTTCAAATTTCGACTCCCCATAACTTTACTATACATGATTGTAGTTTAAATATTGCAGGTAGCATAATATTTTTTTCAGAAATTGCTTTTCAAACAGTCAAAAGCTGCCTGGGAAAAACACTGGGCATAAATATTGCGTCACTTTCTTCGAAGCTTCAATTCAGTTAGTTATTTTTCATCGCTCACTTTGAAGTTGAACACCTTGCGTCGCCTTTTTCCTCATTTTCATGAAAACAATAGATCACAACTTTTAGCCCAACATTTAGCTCTTCCTTGTCCGTGTTTTTTAAAAGCTTAACATGTAAACCGAAATAGATTACTTTTTGGCTGACAAGATGCAAATTGATTGTTTTGGTTATTTTCTGACCAGTACCAGAATGCTTATTACATTACTTTTTCTGTTCTTTTTTCTTCTGAAGTTATAATTAAGTGTGAAACAGTTGGCAAGTGCCTGTTATGTGATGTGAAACTGCGAAGTGGACATTGGCTATGACTCTGTTTGTAATAGGTTGCGAGTCTCCTCTTTTGAGGAGCGGAAACGAACAGCGATTGCAGTTACGGTATCTGCTCATAGACATGTGTTATCTAACCATAGAAAAACGACAACACTGGTTATTGGTTGGATATCAGTTCAGTGGGCCAACACATGCTGTATCTTGGCATAGATCGTTCACGCCTCAATGGTCCAAACCTTCATAATTCCCACATCATTTATTACACTAAAAACAAACACAAACAAAATATATACACATTTATATATAGATTCACACATACAAGCTGTATTTATATATAGCGTATTATAGCAAAAACATGCCACGTGACTCCATAAAAAAAATCCGGAAAAGATTAAAGTTAAAGAAAAGTATAATGTTTATCTTCAGAATGATGTTCAGATCCAGATTGTTTTTTGACACCAGTGAGGAAAGACAAACAATTTCAATTTCGTCCGTTCTGAAAGAACAATTTCTTAACCAAGTTATTAGTTATATAACCAACGATTTGACAATGGTCGCTTAGAAGAGTATATGTACAATGGTAGTTGGATTAAGTTTTGCGGGCAATTTGCCTCTGACCCCAGATATGATTGGCCAAATCAGCTTTGATTATAATCGAGAGAAGATATATCTGGCAACTTCCTTTTCTATCAAACTTGCAACTAATTCATTTTCAGTTTTTCCGATTATTTTTCAAAAGAACATGATTTCTTAGACTTTTAAAATAAAGTAGCTTAAAAAATGAAATACTTTTACTGACCTTAATACGACAGATGATATTACATGTGTGTCTTAGATAAATTATCTACCAAGTTCAACAGGTGACTTCGACATTTTACTTTTTTCAATTCAGATGAATTTATCATCAGTTAGTTGACAGATTGATCGTTTTCGCCTTTTCGCGTGTAATCATTTTCTACATTTTATAATTTAATTTGTGTTATTTTTAGCCATTCCAATATGCTTCCATTATTAAACACTAATCAATCAAGTCTACTATATTCATCAATGAATAGTTCTGCTATGGATAACAATCCCAAGGTTCAAATTGCTTCAAACTTTACCAACAACAACAGTCTTAACTGCAACCTAATCACAGTTTTATCAATTTATCCACCAATAAAACCTCTTTTGGAAGAATTTCGAAAAAATTTTCACTAATATTCTAGAACAACCAAATTGTCAGCATAGTTCAGCCAAATCATTATCTTATTTAACATCATAGCAACCAGAAAAGTGTTTAAAAGGATCGATTCGTACTATCTCAATGGCTTTCGCAGCAGGGGGCGGGGCGACCTTTGTGAAACTTCTTCGAAAGGGTGAGGGGGCATCGAGAGCACAGAGACGGGCGGCCTCCAGTTTTCCCAGGAGAGGTACTTCTTTTCGCAGGGGAGGAGGAGGAGGAGGAGGAGGAGGGGCGGAGGTGGGCAAGCCCCCGTTGACAGATGAGCAGACACGGCAAATGGAGGTTGTTTCCAGGGAATACAGAGCACAGTTTTGCAGGTTAGAAAAAGCCACTTGTTCCAGATAAAAAGCTCCCCTTGGATGTTTTGATTTGGCGCGTTTAATTCGAACAGATTTCTAAGAGATTGCATGCTTTATATATGGATTTTGTTCACCTTAAGTTTTGTTTTATATGAAATGCAATGATATTTTTCGTATAATGGTTGAAGTTTTGGCCGGGTTTTCCAAGTTTTTTTTTTCAATTCAGTGTTGTTTTTTGTGCATCGTTTAACAAAAAGATCTAACGGAAACCTAGATATTAGGCATATTTGACAGCCCCAGTAAAATAACAAATCGGTAACAGTCAAAAAACGACAAGAAAAAAAACAGAGAAAAAATCACTGAAAAAAAATTAGCAGACAGTTTTTTTGAAACTTTGAAAACTTTAACTCCAAAAATGGCTCTACAAAATCTTTAAAAATCAATTTTACTCAAAGTAACCTAAATTGTTATGGCCTATCTTTTTTAGAATAAGCGTGCTCGCTAGCTTTTTTTTGTTCGAAATTAGACTAAACTTCGAGAAATTCAAACCCGTTTTTCTCAAAAGTAGGACAACTTTATGAAAATTTTTCAGGGTCGCTCGAAACAAGCATGAACGGTTTTTAATATGACATTCCACTCAATTCATTCCCATAATTCTTTGTGGTACCTGATTTTGCGGGGAAAATAAAAGAAAAAATCTAAAACACATATCTCACAAAAAAGAGATATCACGCATTGTTGTGGATAATAAAAAGCCGCCAAAATGACGAAATCTACATTTATTTTGGTACCATTTAAAAATATCATGGAACTGTGAGTTTACTTAAAGTTGAATAATCAAAACGCTCCAAAACAAAGATAACCTTAACCACCAACAAAGCTCAATGAAATGAATAAAAAATGTGGTATGAAAAGATTTCTGGTGTTTTTTTTTGGGTCTTCTCAATTACGAATATGTGATCAAACGTTTGTTTTTGTGCACGGCTTTCAGCGGAGTTACCAACACTTTTAAACTGAAAAAGATTTTTGCGGATAAGAAATGAGAAGGAACTTAGCGTTCGAATGTATTTTTTGTTATAAGCACTTTCGACATTCTAAGCGCTGTAAAAACATACAATACATAATTTTGACAAAGATGGCTCGTTATCGAAAAAAAAATTCTGAGTCATTTTAAAAGATCAATGAGGAGCCAAAAGAAAAAGACTAAAATAGGTTTCCTTTCAATTCAATCAATACGAGGCCAAACTGTGCATTTTGTGAATTGTAAGCGGATTCCGCAACAGGTAAAAATCAGGTTTGTTGCCGAGTCTTCAAGTTTGCTATTTTTTAAATCTTCTCTGCTGTTTTGGATTCCACGGACATATAGCTAAAACACTTTATTGCTCCAAAAACAGGCAATTTTGCAGAATTCCATAATTTTAAACTATCGTGGAATCCGCAACTGTAGTTGAATCCGCAAATTGTAAGCGGAATCCGCAAATTGTAAGCGGAATCCGCATAAACTTGCGGAATCCTTTTACAGTTGCGGATTCCGCTTACATTTGCGGAATCTGGAACAACTACCTATATTCGCTCGTTGTATAATCCGCAACAAAACCAATGTGACGACAAAATTTACGTTACAGGCACGTATTGTACGTTGAATCCACTGAAATTTTGGAACATGTTTAAAGACTTGTCTTTGGAATCCAGGAACATACAGTTAAACAATTGTTTGGCCTCGTTATGATGAACCTGAAGTTGAATATTTAGCCAGGAAAACAAAATAAGCTTTTTCTATTTGAAGTTTTAATTCGCGCCTTTGCAATTTTTTTTTTAAATTTCATTCGTTTTTTATTTTTCCTTGTTTCAGTCTATCTTGCGAAGACGAATTTCGCTGCATTGGAAACAGGAGAGTCTCAAGATTTTTTTAGTTCCAACTACAGAATGCGTCAATGGGTGCGTTTTGTTGTTTGAATTTTTTTCTCCGCGCAAAGTATGATACTCTACATTTAGATCTGATGATCTGAGTGCTACATTAAATAGGAGCACATTCAGTTTTTTTTCAAAAAATAAATAAGACTTCGTAAATCTTTTGTGTTGAAATTTTTGTGTTAAGATGGTGGGAAATTTTTTGAAAACAACTGAGTGAATAGTCATTTTTAACAAATTTAACGTTGAAAGTAATGACAGTTTTAAAGCTTAATTAGTTTAAAAAGGTCATTGATGCATCATATATTTGTATGTGCTGACCTGACCGACTTAGAACACTTTTTACAAGAATGTGTAGCCTGGATACATTTTGAAAAATCAAGAACCATAAAAAGAAATTTTTCAGCCAATCAATTTTACAAAACAAAACGCTAAGCGACTATAATTTTTGTATATTTGATCCTTGGTATTATTGAAATTTTACTGAGATTTTATTCTAGTGAAAAATTCTGAACCAATTATTTGGCATTGAACTGATAACTAATTTCACTTGAATCATCGCTGGTTTCCATTTTTGTAAACACACAATTTCTCTACACATTAAACCTGCAAAAATGTTTGGTCCGCAATCGGATTGAAATAAATCCAATAAAAAGTTGCAGCAATTTTAGAGGAGAAATAGAAAAAAAAGCTTTATCATCTGAAAGTTGGAATAAGGGACGAAGCAAGGTAGCTTTTTGATGAATTTATCTTTGTTTGTAAAAACAATTTTTGTTCATGCAAGCTCGTATCAAAAACCGTGTAGTAGCCACTACATCAGAAGAACAAAAGGATGATAAAAAATTTTTAAAATCTAACCATCTATTCAAAAGGCCATAAGTGATAAATCAGAAAAAAATCTTGCCCGCATCCAATTTCTAGCGTTAATAATCAATTATATTATGATTAGATTAACTAGCGGTAGAAAAAATCCATATGACTTCACAAAACACTTTTTTTGGGTTAGGAAAAAAATTTGGAGAAAAAATAGAAAAAAGCTTTTTCATCCAAAAGCTGGAGTAAGGGATCAAGCAAGGCAGCGTGCAAGCTGTATCAAAACTGTGTAGTAGCCACTGCATCAGAAGAAAAAAATGATAAAATTTCGACAAACTTAAACTGAAATCCGCTTCTAGAATTGTTCAGGAAAAAATGTCTGCAACAACATTATCATCTTCGAATGAAACATCTAGCTAATCAAATTGTATTTTTCGTAATACTTTAGATTTTTTGGCAAATTGCCACAAGATAATCAGCATATTTTGACAGAAAGTATACTGAATCAGAAAATTCAAAATTATTGATCTGAATTGTTGTTTCGAAAAACAGGTTCTAACAATTTGCTCGAAAGTTTGATTATTTTCAGGACATCTAATTTCAAAAACTATCAAAATCTGAGGTTCGGTCATCATTTGCTACTTCCGCCCGTAACCAAGGAGGTTTGTTGGCAAATCCAGGATTGCAAGTTCGAAAAAATCAAATGAACGGAAAAGTTTGAGCTATCTAGCACACAAATCATTCCATTCACGGTTCACCTGGGCCTTTTTTTTCAAACTAAGTACTACAGTGAAGGCAAAATGGCTGATTTTAGAAGTAATTACAAACGCAAACAGAATAGCCGGTTGTGGTGCAAGTAGCACAGAATGTTCCGGCCATATTCATTTTTTTGTTTGAAAAATGGCTAGAAAAGCAAGACAAAAAACTGGTTTAAATACTATTTAATTGTAAGCCCTCTCGCTTGTTTTACCTTCTCGAAATTGAACAAAAAATTTAAATTAGTTTTTTTTTTCAATTTCATGACCACTTTTTAAAGTTTTTATGGTCGCTCGAAGAACGATCAAAAGGGCTTCGATATGATATAGTTTTCGATCCTGTCCGATGATTATTTGAGAAAAAAAACACACCCGAATGTATTTTCAATTGTCGAACAAAAACCCTACAGAACATTCCACAAACCGTTTTTACCAAGCACGAAGGTTGCAGCTAGCTGATAACTTGCCATTAGCAACGAACCAGTTGACAAACTCGTATCAAAATTAAACGTTGAAATAGTGTCCAAAAAATGAAAATTTCCTGTTTGACTGAATTTTTTTCGAACCAAAAAATTTACGCGAGTACGATAACAAGCGAATCATTTGTTTTTTGAAAAAGAATTGGGAAGACTTTTTGTTGATCAAGACATATAAAAGACTCTACAAAATGGGAACCTAGAAAAGATGCCCGAAGTGTAGGCGGCAAATGACGAATTATGTTTGGATGAAATATATGTTATTGTGTGCTGATAAAAAATTAATCCCAATCCGAGATCATATATTGCAATATCAAATGAAGTATTTTGCAATTAATCAATGATAATACTAGTTTTCAACAAAGATTTTGACGCAGCGAAATAATACCAGCAATTTGTTTCCAGTTAACTGCCCGTACCCAGTAAATTTTCTAAAACAGTTCAGGAATAATCTTCTTCAGATCTAAATTTCATATCTGAAATAGGTTGTGAAATGTTTAAATAATGCTTGGATACTTTAAGGATTGGTTATTTTAGATCGAATTTCAGATCTGAAATTTTGTTTTTCTCGGTTATTTCAGATCTGAAAAAAAATCTATTTCAGATCTAATTTCAGATCTGAAGTTTAGTTTGTCTTGGTTATTTCAGATCTGAAAAATCAATGATTGTGGCAAAGTGTTTTTTTTTTATTTTGTTGTAGTTGATAGCTTCTGCTAGCTACTAGCAGGTACTCAGCGAAGCGTGTCTCCAATAGGAGAGTGCGCAAATATGTTTCTACAATCATGAGTTAAACATTGGAACGCACAAGTAGCGCATGAAAATTAAAAATTTGACAGGTCTGCTAACTGTTTTTGAAAACTTTTAAACACAGATGAACGAGAAATTTAGTTCGAAAAAAAACTGTTTGTGAAATTATTTGGAAGTTTTTTTACCGCTAGTTAATCTTAACATAATTGTGTATTGCAGAAACATCAATAAATAAAAAACTCAATTTTTTGCTTGAAACGCATAAATCATAATTTAACTAAGGATTTCTCAGATCTTAGTTCAGATCTGAAATTTT